TGAATTATACAGTTATAGGGAAACAGCCTCAGGTTACCAGACAGCAAACATTAATCTACCTGGTAACCTTATAGGAACTGCCAAATGCTCAAGGGTGTGTATGAGCTAACTGGACTCCAGGGAAAATGTTAGATTTGAGGAGATTTAAAGAAGCTATATTATGTTACCAAAAGGATATCATATGGCATGCATTCTCCATTTGTAAAGCAGATGTTAAACTCATGGTCAACCTGTAATTTAATTATCCCTCAGGAGTGGAAAGAATTGGTTACAGCTGTCCTAGAGGCTAGTCCACAATTTTTATTTTTAAATGCTACATTGGATTGAATTTTTGTATATTGTATATAAATTATGTGTATTGCTACAAATTTGAGATTGATTTATATAGATGTTATAAGATATAGAAAGCAACTACTAGTTTTAAATATTGGATTGGATTTTTGTATATTGTAGACAAATTATGTATATTGATACCAATTTGAGATTGATTTTGTTAGAATATATTGTACATATATTGCTAATCTTGTTCAAAATTTTGTACCTATGCAGTTCATTTAACAATGCAATGCAATTTGCTAATCCTTGAAAGTTATTATTCCAACTATTAGGATATAAAGAAGTGAAAGTTAGTAGTTAGACATTACAATCACACTTGTAGTCATATTAGGTATGCTTTTAAGGTCAACCAGAGATATATTTTAGATAGACAGGTCATCTTCAAACCCTTCAGAGATCTACAGAATATGGCATTTAATATGTTTTAATAACAGATTTTTTAATGACTATGAGACATGTCTGCTCCTGGCAGCACCAATCTGCTTCAGAAAAGATACAAGCATTGAACAACCTCCACCTGGAGTTAACTTTCATTGTGGCAAAAGTTAGCCACTGGGAAAGAAAGTGCCCTTGCATCGACTGCTGACAGTATGCTGTCCAAAATGGACAAGCAGGACACAAAACAAAGGACTGCCGATCTTTGCCATGACAAGTGTGGTTGCAGCTTCGGAAACAGGCATCCTCTGAGGTCAAGGCAACATGGCACCATTGCCGAAGTGGCTTTGCAATCCAGAAAAGGTACAGTGCCCCTTCTTTCAAAGGCACCTGAACAGGCAATGGGCTGATGGCTCTTGGTGTGCAGTGGAACAGTAGCTGGAATAGTTACTCTTGAAGGAGTAACTAGGCTGACAGAGTCTGGCCTCTCAATGTTAGACTGACATTTAATTAAGGAGATGAAGCCACCCACAAACCGTCAAGAATTGGAAGCTGAATTCCAAAAATACCAGCAATTTCCAGAATTTAAAATCTTGAATCATGACGTGACACTGGTGGAATTCAAGTTTATCTAGTACATGGAATACTTGCACCGAATGTGGGGTTGAGCTACAGGCCTTGTATACATCCTGCTTCACAGACGAGTCTGTCAGATATGCTAAGCCTGTGGGCCGAAGATGATGCCCCAACATTGTAGAGAAGCCTCGGGTGACTGTCCAGGCAGCTGGCTGTTTATGTCATAACTCACGTTTTTTGGAAGTCGCTTGTTTGCACTTCCTGTTTTACTAGGTATTATTATTTCCTTCTTGGGTCTCTGAGGGATTTGAAGATTAGATAGACTTAGTTATATTTTTCCTTGTTAACAATTTCAGAAAAGAAACTTACTAAGAGATGTAAAGGGTATAAATTTGAAAGACATTATAAGATAGTTTTGTGTTGGTAACACAAGATAAGATAGAAAGTGAATTAGGTACATTTTGGACTCACCAAAATAGGATAGATAATGGAGTATTTTCACTGAATTTGTCAAATGTAAATGGATTAGACATTGTTGATGTATTTATTGTTTGTATATATTGTATATAGTTATTGTCCTTATTATATATAGGTTTCTTATATTAGTTATATTTTTATGTTATTTTTTAGACAAAAAAGGGGAAATGTGGTGATATTTTATCTGTGTCCCCCAATAAAGTTTGTCTAAGGATCAGAGTGAAAAGCCAGCCACTATATTAGACATAGAAGTCAGGCAATGAGCCAGGCGGGGGTAGTGTACGCCTTTAATCTCAGCACTCAGGAGGGAGAGCCAGGTGGATCTCTGTGAGTTAGGGGCCAGCCTGGTCTACAGAGAGAGATCAGGACAGGCACCAAAACTACACAGAGAAACCCTGTCTCGAAAAACCAAAAAAAAAAAAAAGTCATGCCTTTAATCCTATCACTTGGGATGCAGGGATCTGTCTGGATCTCTGCGAGTTCAAAGCCACACTGGGAACAGAGCCAGGTGTGGTGGCACATGCCTTAAATTCCAACACTAGTTAACCATGAATGTCTGGAGGTCTGTACAGACACACAGGAAGTGACAGAGCTGGGCAGGAAGAGGAAGTGATGTAGCTGGGCAGAGAGAGGAAATGAATTAGCAGAACAGAAAGGAGTATAGTCATGGGTATACAGGAGGTAGGTCTTTTTGGAAGCTGAAGGCCAGTAAGGTGAGGTTGGCTTGTGGCTTTTCCTATTCCTCTGATCTCTCAGGCTTTAACCCAGATATCTGGCTCTAGGTTTTTTATTTAATAAGACCGTTTAGCAATTCTTTCACAAAGACCAAATGACCAGCCATGAAATTATATACCTATGAGTAACACTAAACAGATTGAGCAGATTGGATTTATATATTTAGGCAGATGTGTGTGTGTGTGTGTGTGTGTGTGTATTTGTTTGTCTGTTTGCGTAATAATGACAGATAGAAAGAGACCATGATTTTGAGGGAGCAAAGGGACACCCATGGCGGGAGTCTAAGGAAGGAAAAGGAAGGGGTAGGTGATGTGATTATATTTAATTTTTTAAAGAAAATAAATAGATATTATATAAAAGAAAATATCAAATCTCCTATAAAATGTCTCCCAAGGTCATTACTTTAATTCCCTAGGATCTTTCTAGCCTACTTTGATTTGAAGTAAAATTTAAAACATGCTCATAATTTCCTGACTTTAGAGCTATCTTATATGTTCTCACTTCTTTTAATTATACCTTCTCTTACTTTTTGAGGTTTCTCCATTGGGATACTTGCATTAGGGTTTGACTTAGCCCTTCTGTTTACAGCTGCTAAAGAGAGTTTAGTTATGTGAGGGAAGTCCAGGACTCTGAGTAGATGTAATTATTAGACAGATGCCCATGAGCCCAGGAAAGTTAAATGTAAGTGTGGGTGGAAAGTTCCGAGAGCATCTTAGTATACCATGGAACCAAGCAAAGAACACACAGTAGGTCTGAGCTGTTCAGGGAGGAATAATAAGAAGAGAAAAAGGACAAAGAGTCAAGTGACATGTGCTTGTTTACTTCCTAACTCATGTATTTAGTAGATAATTCTGAACTGATTACAGTGGACCACTAACAAGGTCCACTATGCTAAGAATAAAGCTGTTATGAATTGAACACCTTGACATCTTAGAATTTTTATTCTAATTGGTGAAATTGATGATGAACACACGGACACACAAATGCATTGCATAGTTCAGTTTTGTGAGTCTCAACATCAAAGAGATGAGCAGAGTGCTAAAATAGAATAAGTAGAATAAGGGAGAGCGATGATAGAGCAAGAGGGGTATGCTAGAGTAAGTGGGAGCTATGGCAGTTTAGGGGAAGGACTGTGGTACAGATAGAGGAGGGCTATGTTAATGGAGCAAAGGAGCTATGATATTTTAAAATGAGGGTTATAATGCAGATAGAGGTGGGATATGATAGAATAAGTGGTGGGATATGATAGAATAAGTGGTGGGCTATGATACAGTAGGAAGGGCTATGATAGAGTAACATGAGGACTATGATAGAGTAACAGGAGGATTATGATAGAGTAACAGGAGGACTATGATAGAGTAACTGGAGGACTATGACAGAGTAAGGGGCATGTAACTTTGCATGGGAAGACCAGCAGAATCTGTGGGTTTCCTCACAGAAGTGACACCTGAGCTGAGACTTGAAGATGGTCAAGAGTCTGGTTTACCAAGTTTTGGACAGAGAGTGTTTCCTACTCAGAAAGACCTAGGACCACATCTGGGAAGTTCAGCAAGTCAAAAGAGACAAGCGTTGCTGCTGCAGAGAGTTGGGATCTTTCCCTACAAAAAGCTGATGTTGACAGTTCAGGCCTATACAAATCTTGCGGAACAAGGGCCAGTTGCCCTGTAACCACTCCGAGTCACAAAAGTTCCACCTCTGCTTCTCAAACTCTTGTGTTTGAGCGTCAGCCTGATCTTTTATTTATCTATCTATCTATCTATCTATCTATCTATCTATCTATCTATCTATCTATCTATCTATCTAATCTATCCATCCATCCATCCATCCATCCATCCATCCATCCATCCATCCATCCATCTATCTATCTATCTATCTATCTATCTATCTATCTATCTATCTATCTATCTATCTATTTATTTATTGAGACGGGGTTTCTATGTGTAGCTTTGGTGCCTTTCCTGGAACTCACTCTGTAGCCCAGGCTGGCCTCGAACTCACAGAAATCCTCCTACCTCTGCCTCCCAAGTGTTGGGATTAAAGGCGAGCGCCACCACTGCCCGACGTCCAGTCTGATCGTATTAACAGAAAGGAGAACTTCCTCTGTGCAGTGGAAGAACCGTTATTCTCTGCGCTCGTGCTACAGGCCTGGCTCTGTCTTCTCTTCCTTCTCTATAGAAATCCTAGGACTGGGCACATTCGCCGGAGAGCCATCCCCTCCTTCCTTCCTTTCAGAAAATATTATGCAGAAGTCCTGTTTCCCGGCATGTCCTCTCCCCTGCAAATATAAAATACAGCTAGCTCTACCCGTGGGAGAAAATGTGGACAGACCCCATCTCCTATGAGAAGCAGACAACTTCCTTAGTCACAGGCTTGACTGGGGGATCTCATGCTCTGCGTGAGGCACTGCTGTGGCTATTTGTATGATTTTTGTGCCAACTAAAGAAACGAAGAGGCACACAGCACAGAGGAACCAAAGAGATCCCAGAGGCAGGAGCTCAGCATCAGGCTCCCGTGCTGAGTTTATGCTCAGCCCCCACTGTGGTTTCTGCCACCGTGTCACTCAGAGCACAGTAGTACACAGCTGAGTCTGACTCTTGGACCGAGGCTTTCTGCAAGTGGAAGGAAGTGGATTCTTTATCGTATGTAGCTTCAAAACCTCTGCTGCTTCCCTTCTCGTTGGCCTTCGAGGCTCTGAAGAGAAGCTGTGGACCTTCTCCGGGATACTGCACGTACCAGAACAGAGCTGGGTACCCTGAGGCTGAATAGTTGCAGTGTATAGTAAGAAAGCCCTCTTCTGAGAGGACCACTTGACCTTCCGTCTGTGACACTGACTCTCCCTGGGTCCTTGCTGGAGGAAAAACAAAACAAAACAGATATGCATGTCACTTTAAAGACAAAGCTCTTGGAGGAATTTAGGGCTCAAGATTTTTCTGACATAAAAGAGTGAAAAGTTTAAACCACTTTACTTACCGAGTATGAGGAGAACTGCAAACACGAAGTCTGGAGAAGAGTCCATCTTTAGTGTCATCTAGACAACGTTCTTTTGATTCTTAGCATGCTGAAAACAGAGAGAAAACAATGAGTCTAAACTTAACTTCACACCGGAAATACTATAGCGTTAGGACGCTGCGCCCCCTGGTGACCAGAGAGTAAACAGTTAAATGTGGCAATATTTGCTAAAGACATGGAAATAATGAACTCTTGTTTTAGGCTGAGGATCACTGCTATTTCAAAGGTTGTATTTTCCCTGTTTTAAGTGAGTGCCAATTTTAAGGAATTTTTTAATTAAAGTTTTTCAGAGGAGAAGTCACATTGCATAAAAATTACTTAAATATCTTGGAATTCCAGGTCAACTGAAGTGGAGTGATCTGAACATTTGAAAAAGGTTCCCCTTCGCCCTTAAAACATTTCCTGCTAACACAAACTGACTCACTCTCTGAGCCAAGTAATCGACTTCACTTTCTGCCTTCACGCTCACTGGGATTCTCTCAGTGTTTAGGCTAAGCTCCACATGTATAAAACATGAATCTCCTCCCTTGCTTCTACTGAGAAAATACTGGGATTAAATATAACAATGGTACATGTCCTTCCAGTTTCTTGTTATCATGTTCATTGTTGTTTTCATAAAATTGTTTAGATGTCATTCCTGGTAATTGCTTTAATTGTCTTTATGGGTCATTTTATGTCCTAAGACAGAACTAAATAACAAAATCTGTGGCTACTTGGTTTACCCAAATTGAACATTTTTCCTTCTATAGGAAAAACCAGCATTATGAGATATATCAGCAGTCCATGACAATTACAGCCTCTCTGTTTTAACAGAGAAATACATTTGAGAAGTGAGCCATGTTTCTCCTTCATGGCATTATCAGATGGAGGGGACATGGACTTGCTTCTCCAGAGCAGGGACACACAGAATCCTGTGTGGAGTGGAAATAAAAGTTGCAGCTTGAGCTACATCCTGACATTTCTAGTTCAGATGTTAGTTTATTTTTTAATTACTATTTTTGAGATTATTACTTAACCACAATATTTCTTCCTTACCTTTTCTCCCTCCAAATTCTCCCATATACCCCTTCCCATATTCCTTCAAATCCATGGCCTCTTTTTTTTTTACTAATTGTTGTTGCATATGTATAATTATATGTGTATGCACATATATTTCTAAACACAAGCCATTCCATCCATATAATTTTATGTGTATGTATGTTTTCAGGGGTGACTATTTGGCACTGGACAAACAATTGGTCTGTTCTTCCCTGGGGAAGGCCACCTCTCTGGTCCTCAGCTGCCTATACTTCTCTATGCAGGATTCTGGCCTCATAGGCTGCTCCCTGCCCACGTTTACATGTTCATTGGTGTCATCCTTGTTCAGCTCACTTTTCAATGGTCATGTTGATGAGACTTTATGTGTAAAGCTTATGATATTAGTAAGAGACACAATCTTTCAGCAAACTCCTCAGTCCTCTGGCTTTTGCAATCAGTCTGCCTTCTCTTCTGCAGTGTTCTCTGAAGCTAACATGCAGGAGTGTTTTGTAGATATATTCACTGGGACTGGGCTCCACAACTCTATATTTTGATTGGTTGTGGTATCCTTTAGTGGACTCTATCTGTTGCAAAAAGAAGTTCCCTTGATGAGGGATGAAGACTACAGTTATCTGTGGGTATAGGGACAATTATTTATAGATTGTTGTTAGGGATTATGCTGGCTTCATAAAACAGAGGTTGTAGATTCTCCTCTAATAACCATGACTTCACTCTCACTTTATAAGTTAGCTAGGTTCTCATCACCAGACATAGTATCCCTATTGTGGAGTGGGTCTCCAGTCCAATTAGAGAGCTGTTGGGTACCATTAAGGTGTGTGTGCCATTACCACACCTGTAGGATTATTGTGCCATGCTGATTGTTCATGCGGTTCATAGGCATCATAGCCTTGGTTGCTTCCATCCTTTGGAAACTTGCATGGCACTTTCTTGTACCAAGAAAGCTGGTTCTCTGGAAGGGTCATTCGGGTCAGTTCTAGGTTAGTAGTTTCTGGACCCTGTGTCTGAAGTGACTGGTGCCATTAGCAATAGGGACTCACCACTTCTGGGGTGTAAACAAGGGCAACTTCAACAGGCTGTATGTTTTGGGAGTCTCTTGGATAGCCCTGGCCACAAACTCAAAAGAGGGCTTCTCATGTATGGCATTGCGGTTTTTGTTAGGTGATCTTTGGTTCTTGGAGGAAGCACCATCAGTACATGTGGGAAAAGTTTATTAAAACTACCCCCCCACAAATATATGTCTATATAGATATGTTGCATTGTAGGTACTATTTTTTAAGATAAATAGTTAATAATATGGTTCCTTCTAGCATTTTAATGCATCCTTACAGCTACTTTATCTACTTCTCTTGCATTTATTTCCCTTCCCCTTCTTTAAAGAGAGTCCCTTTTCCCAAATTGTCCTATCAGGTTACTTGTATCCTGATAGTCCCCCATACCCTCTCCCACCTTCTTCTCTATTTACATCCCTCCCCCTCGCAAGGGCCCCCATTTTCCCCATTTCCCTGGTCAGATAACCTGTACCCTGCTAATCTCCTCGCTATTGTTCCCTAATTTTCCTACCTTGAGAATGGTCAGATTTCACTCTCCTGATTTCTGTAGTTACTACACACTATGAACTGGCAACTGAAGATTTGGAGATAAGAACTTCCAATAAGAGAGATCATGTGATGTTAGCCTTTCCGGGTCAGGTTATATCACTCGATAGCATCTTTCCTAGTTCCACCCATTTACTTGCAATGTTCCTGATTTCATTTTTCTTTATAGCTTAAGAGTATCCCTTAGTTTATCTGTACCACATGTTCATTATCCATTCATCAGTTTTTCAACGTTTAGATTGTTTTTACCCCTACCAGTTGTGAACAAAGCAACAAAAAACACGATAGAGCAAGTATCTGTGGAGTCTGACGTCCAGTCCTTTGGGCCTATGCTGAGGTGTGGTATGGCTGGCTTATATGAGATATTAATTTTCAGCTTTTTGATAATTATCCAAACTTATTTGAATGGTGGCTTCATCAATTTGAAAGCCCATCCAAAGTGATTGATTCTTGCCTAGTCCCTGCATCCCCTTCAGCATTTGCTGTCAGTTATTACATGGGTATTTTCTTTCTGACCAGGGTATGATGAAATCCTAAAGTTGTTTTGATTTGCATTTCTCTAATTTATAGGTATAATTAACATTTTCTAGATATTTTTAGTCTTTTTTTTTGTTTTTGTTTCTTTTGAGAACTCTCTATTCAGGTCTTGTGTCAACTTTTTGAATGTGTCTTTTTAAATTTTATCTTACTTTTAATTTTTTTAGGTCTTTGCATATTCTGGAGATTAATCCTGTCAGATGTGTATCTGACAAAGATTCTTTCCCATTATGTGGGCTGCCTCTCATCCTGTTGGTTGTTTCTTAACTGTGCAGATTTTCAGTTTCATAGATTCCCACTTTTCAATTGGACAAATGGAGTTCTATCAGAAAGTCCTTTCCCCTACATCATGTAAGCTATTGCCTATATTTTCTTTTGGCAGTTTCAATGTTTTGGGTTTTACATTTAGGTCTATGATCTATATGAAACTAGTTTTTGTGCTGTGTGATAGATACAGCTCTATTTGCATTCCTCTGTATGTAGACATGCAGTTTTACCAGCACCAATCATTGAAGATGTCTTTTTTTTTCTTTCCATCAAATGATTTGCTGTATTTGTTAAATATTAAGTGGTTGAAGTTACATGTGTTCATGTGGGCCTTGAGTTTTGCTCCATTGGTCTGCATATCTGGTTTTATGACAGTACCATATTGCTTTTATTACTCTGGCTCTGTAATGTATCTTAAGATCTGAAATTGTAATCTTCACCATCACGTTCTTTTTGCTCATGATTGTAGTGTCTATTCAGTTCCTTTGTAATTCAGTATGAATTTGAGAATAGTGTTTTCCCCTTTCTGTGTAGAATGAGATGGGGATAATGATTAGGATTGCACTGAATCCCTAAATAGCTTTTGGTATAATAGTCACCATCACAATGTTAATTCTACCAATCCATGAGCATGGGATGTCATTCCACTTTCTAGTAATTTTTCTCTATCTCCTTTTCAGAGGCCTAGTTTCCTTTGCAGAATTCTTTCACTTCCTTAGTTAGGGTTATTCATAGGTATTTTATTTTCTTTGACATTATTGTGAATGGGCATGTGACCAGGATCTCCTTCTGTGCATGTTTGTTGGTGGGATATAGAAACCTATTGATTTGTACAAGTTTATTTTGGATAGTTCCATATTGTTGAATGTTTTGGTCCTATCTAGAAGTTTTCTGGTAGAATTTTGGGATATTTAATGTATAGTATCCTATAATTTGCAAATATGGATAGTTTGACTTTGTCTTTACCTGTTTGTATCCCTTCAATTTCCTTCTCTTGAGTTATTGCTTCAACTAGTAATCTGAGCACAGTGTTGAAAAGGAATGGGACTAGCGGATGTCTGTCTCTCATTCCTGACATTGAAGGGGCTGAGTCAAGCTTTTCTTCATTTAGGATGATGTTGGCTGTGGATTTCTCATGTATAGTTTTATTGTGTTGAGGTATGAAACTTCTAGCCCTACATTCTCTAGGACTTTTATCATGATGACATGTTAGATTGTTTCCTCTCTCAGTTTTCATTATACTTTCTTTTCTATGCATACTTAGTGTCTTAACTATTATATGCCACAGGGCATTTCTCCTTCGTTCTTGTCTATTTCATGTTCTGAGTGCTTCCATATGAATCTTTAGATGTTTTATTTCTTATTTCTGTGAAGGACATTGTGGGGTTTTGATTGAGATTGCATTGAATCTTTTTTTTTTAATCTTCTACAAACAATTTATCAGTCTGACCTGACCCCAATGTGGTTGGACAAAAGAGAATTCAGTGGCAAATAGGACGCAGACACTACAATCACCATGACTAATCTATATTGATGAAAATGGGAGCCACAGTTGAACAATAACAGAAGC